GTAGCCAGAAGACAAACGACAGAGCGGCGTGCGCGAGACGCCACGTGACTCCGGAGAAACAGCTGGCGACGGGAGACAAAGTAATCTGCACACTTGGAACATAAAACACACGCCACTGCCACTGACATCCACTCTCTAATTACGAGAAGGGGGTGAGGGGGGACTGGAAATGGAGGCGAGGGGGGTGGTGGCTGGAAATGGGAATGAATAGGGACTGGGAATGGGGGAGAGGGGGCTGGAAATGGGGGAGAGGGGGCTGGAAATGGGGGTGAGGGGGCTGGAAATGGGGGAGAGGGGGGTTAGAAAAGGGGGTGAGGGTGGGGCTGGCAATGGGGGTGAATGGGGAGTGGAAAAGGGGGTGAGAGGGAGGGGGGGTGAAGAGAGGGAGGGGATGGAAACGGAGTAAGAAAAGAGGAAAAGAGGATAGTGAGGGAAAAAAAGGTAAGAGGGGGGAGGGGCGGGGTATGGAAGGAAAGGAGCGAGAGAAAAGAGAGAGAAAGAGAGCGAGAAAGAAACAAAGAAAGACCGACAAAGAGGAGAGGACATGAGAAGAGAAGAGAGAGAACATCGACCAGACGAGACAAAGGTAACTAACGGGAAAAAAAGGAGATTAAAGTTAACACCTGAAAAACATAAACAAACAAACAAACAACAAACACTATACCTTTCACGTCCTCTTTTGCAGCCCCCCCCCACACAAACACACACACGCAAACACACACACACACACACACACACACACACACACACACACACACACACACACACAAACAAAAACACAAACACACACACACACACACACACAAACACACGCACACACAAACACACACACACACATACACAAACTCACACACACATACACACAAATATATATATAAAACCAGAGCGCTTATCCACTTGAAACCAAGAATTCCCTCAACCACAAATCAGCCAGTCATTGTACGCTTACGCCAGCCGCCAGTCAATAGAATTATATGCATATGATGATTAAATAAACGCGCTGGAATAATGAAACAAAAACAAAATAGAAGAGTGAATGTGTGGCTTTGATGGAAACAGAACAAACTATGCGAAATATTTAAAACACGGAATGCATGAATAAATTAATGAATGGGAAGTGACGGCTGATGATTCTGGGATTTATATAATATATTCTCAATGAATTCTCCCTTTTTTCCACCTTTAAAGAAATAAAATAGATGGGAAAATAAATAAATGAACAAATTAATAGCAAATAACCCTCCTTTTCATTTGAATCATATTCTAGATTTTATTTTTCGCGAGCACTTAAAATATGTCATAAACTGAAAAACTGAACAAAAAATAAAGGAATATATACTGTATGTATGTATGTATGTATACATACACATACACATAAAGACATGTATGTGCGGATGTATATACACACACACGTACACACACACACACAGAGAGAGAGAGAGAGAGAGAGAGAGAGAGAGAGAGAGAGAGAGAGAGAGAGAGAGAGAGAGAGAGAGAGAGAGAGAGGACGAGAAGACAGGACAGAGCGAAAAACGAGAGAACGAACGGACAAGAGAACGACGGAGAAAGTGAGAGAACGAGAAAACATGATCGAGCGAGCGAGCGAACGAAGTCTTTTAATTAAATGTACGCTTCACACCTTCTTTGAAGCCAGTTAATTGCCGCTCGAGTGTGTCAATGGCGCTACTGTTCTGGCTCCCCTGTCGTGCCGGCAAAACTTACACGCACGCACTTCATTTCGCAAACACACGCAGCTGAATCCAACGCAAGGACGCTAAGATCCTGGTGATGTGAGGTGCGTAATTGTGCACGCATGTGGTATACGCCACAGATACACTCGTACGCACAGAAGTACACAGATGCATACACATAAGATTTAAAGGTATTTCTTAGACCTGGCATACAGGCATATAAAAGTGCACGGGCAAACACAGAAAAAAGAACACGAAAGAAAGGAGGAGGGGGGGAGGAAGACACAAAGGGAGAAAGGGAGAAAGAAAGGGAAAGAGAAAGAGAAAGAGAAAGAGAGAGAGAAAGAGAGAGAGAAAAGAGAAACAGACGAAAGCGAGACGAAGGCTGCCGCGACCGCGGGAGTCGGCAACAAGCCCGGCGCGACGAGGCCTGTGCCTGGCTGCCGCACCTGCATCGCGACAAGATCGTTCCGTCTCATTATTCAATAGAAACACTTGTTCTGCCGCGTCACCTCGTTTACCCCCCCCCCCTCTCCCCACTTCTACGACCTATGACCCTTCCTTTCCCCCTCCTCCCTCTCCTACCGCCACCACCACCACCTCTACCCCTGCCTCCCCCTCCTACTCCTCCTCCTCCCCCCCCTCTCCTCCCCATTTAAAGCCCCATCTGTCTGCGTGTCAAGCGAGCGAGCGAGCAAGCAAGCAGGGACGAACTGGGGTCAGCGGGTACACGCAGGCGGCGTCTCGGAGAGCGGGGTATCGGCGAAAGAATGAGGAAGGTCGCACGGTTTATGAGGAGCGTCGGCGGG